TTTATCGACGGAACCGTACGCGGTACGTGCCGTCCCGTACGGCACCAAAAGTATGTATTCAACGGGCACAAGGTAAGTCTTGACACATTCACTTTATTTATAAAACATTTGCTAAACCTCTGCTTTATTGCTTCGTGTAGAGAAAACACGCTTTGAAATATCAGTCGGTACTTGCTCCCGATGGAATCATAATTCACCTTAGTGGACTTTTTCCTGGAACTCGCAATGATGCCTACATTCTCCAGCAAAGTGGCTTACTTGAGGCTGCATCTCCCTCTCTCAGCGCTAATGGAAGGCATTTTGTTTTTTTATGGGGATCCTGCGTACGGCCGACAAGCTCACATAGTGGCCCCTTTCAAAGGAGCAACTTTGTCAAGAGATGGACAGGTATTTAATAGGCGCATGAGTGAAGTTCGTGTGAGTGTTGAGTGGGGGTTTGGAAAAATTGTGCGTTATTGGGTGTTCGTCGATTTTCCAAAGAATCAAAAGCTATATCTGCAGCGGCTCGGGAAAATGTATACTATGGGAGCTTTTCTCGCAAATGTCCACACTTGCTTTTACGGCAGCCAAACATCTTCCTTCTTTGAGCTAACGCCGCCAAGAATTGAAGAATACTTAAACAATTTGTTAAATACAAACGGTTTTTTTTTGAAGAGAACTGAAGAAGAAAATTAAAGCGTAACCACGATTTATTTATTTATCTTCTCTATCAGTTTGGACATAAGTCCCATCTGGCTAGCCATCATCTCCATGAGTTTATCCGTCTTCTCTCGGTCTTGCTGTAGTCGTTGCTCCTCCAGGGCAAGGCGACGTTCTTCCAAGTGAAGCTGGCGCTCCTTCTGCTTCTCTCTGGTGCTGCGCGTTTCCGCCTTGGCATCGAGAAACTCCACAAGGGCCTCGGTGCTCGACCTTTTCTTTTTTTTACTTGACGAAGGAGTTGATACGTCGTCTTCAGGACTTTTTGACCGAGACCTTCGTATACCCTCCATTGCACTTTGAACCACATCAGCTGAGGCTCGATCACGCCGCTCTGCCTCCTTTTTTTCTTTCTCCGTCTTGTCGGCTTTCGCTTGCAGGCACTCATCAACCTACAAATAATATTGGCTTTATTAATTTTAACGCGAAATATCCATAAAAATTCTTACCAGGGCCATACAATCCGTTAAAAGCTGCTCACGCTCCTCGAAATCTTCGGCAGTACCGGAAGCCCTTAGCGACTCCAGCTCATCGCGTCGAAAAACATCTAAGAGGGCATTAAAGCGGCGACGGCAGGCCTTTCCATCGGCTGTACACGATGGTAGAGCTGTCTTGAGTCCAATGGCGACGCTGGACCAGGATACTTGGGTCTCTCCGTGACCAGCAGCCCAAGGTCGGTGCTTCACAGCTTCTTTCAGCAACAAGATGTCGCTAGATGGTACGAACCGGAAGGCCTTCTTCCGCTTAGACTGAGTGTCTGTCGCTCCTGCTGGAGACTTCCGTTGGCTCGGGGGTGTCTTCTTGGAGGCTGGTAGCTTCGTCAGCCATGCCACCTTCTTGGGTTCTCTAGCCACTCGTTTTTGATTGTTACTTGTGGTCACAGTGCGCAGGGAACTAATGTACTTTTCTCTCACCAAAAAAATACACTGACGGTCTTACCCTAACCTCTTCCCACATCACAGTTTCTTTTCTTTTGTTTGTGACTGTTGCACAAGGTCTCTATTACCCGAAAATTAGCTGTCAACTTTAAATTAGTGGAGCTTGGACCAGTCAAGTACCTGTTGGGGGTAGAAGTCGTGCAAGTGGTAGTGTATTTTTCAGTCAGCTCAACTACGTTGAGGAAGTGCTCCGTCGATTTCATATGCACGACTGCCATGGCGTCGCGACACCGGAGGCAACAGCAGCTGACACTGCAACTGAAGAATCGACTACTGAAATGAGACTTGCCGTATCGAGAAGCTGTTGGAGCTTTCCAGTATCTCGTCTCGGGATCTCGGCCAGATATTGCTCGCGTTGTCCGTCGTCTTGGACAGTACATGTCGTGCTTCAGTGCGGCTCACTATGCTCAAGTCAAGCGTGTACTTCGGTACTTGCAAGCCACGAAGGATTTTGGCCTCAGTATGGTAGTATCGAGCTCAACCAAGGTCGATTTGCAACGGATCGAGGTCTACAGCGATGCAGACTACTTCAATGACAAGATTGACCGTCAGTCGGTCAGCAGATACGTCACTATGCTGAACGGCAGTGCCATTTCGTACGGCTCAAGGAAGCAGGGGTTAAATGCTCAAAGTACCATGGAAGCTGAATATATTGCGATGAATGAAGGCGAGGGACATTATGTGGCTGCGGGGCCTCTGTGATGAACTCAAGTGGAATTACGACCTGTCAACACTTTGGTGTGACTACACAGCAGCTATTGCTCTGTCGAAGAAGCCTGGGAAGCACAATGGCAGTAAACACATCGAAAACCGGTTTCACTACGTCCGAAACGTCGAAGAGAGAGAGAGCTGGTAGCAGTGCAGCATTGCGGAACTAACGACATGACAGCGGATATCTTTATTAAGCCACTGGCCAGAGTCAAGTTCGAGTATTTCCGAAATTTACTTGGTGTGGTTCGTCGTGCTGAGCTAAGGGGAGCGAAGGGCGCGTCTACCCAGGACGATGGTATTTATGCTACGTGGATGATGGTGAAGTTCCATTCAAACTCAAGCTCATTGGTGCTGGTACACGGGTGGAGATGGTATCTCTAGGACGGCGATCAACGATGTTGCGTTGGTGATTTGGCAACAGTACTGATGTTCATGTACGAGCT